TTTTTGGTGATGAGGAGGAATAATTCAGTGTCCAGAGTTGGTGAATCTCTTGATGAAATTTTTTTTAATGCTGGATTCACATGGATCTGCCCGAGGATTTCCATGAGATCCATTTCCATGGGATCCATGTCAGGTTGTTTATGTGATGATCAGGCCTGGGTGTCCCCGTATCTCTCCAGCCATGGCCCATCTCCATCTCCTGGCCCAGCCACGTCCTTTTACCTGTAAATCGAGTTTCAGCACACACCAGGTTTCACCTTTGAGGGTTGGGGCACTCCAAATACAAACGTGTATATTCCAAATATTCAATATCACATCTATCACACTAGAAATTGTGTGAATTAGATCTACTACACGTGACACGAGGAAGAACAGTTCAGTGTCCAGAGTTGTTGAATCCCTTGATGAAATTTATGGGAACGCTGCATTCACATGGATCTGCCCGAGGATTTCCATGAGATCCATTTCCATGAGATCCATCTTGGGTCATTCATGCGATGATCAGGCCTGGGTGTCCCCGAATCTCTCCAGCCATGTCCCATCTCCATCTCCTGGCCCAGCCACATCCTTTTCTTTCTAAATCAGGTTCCAACACACACCCGGTTCTCCTGCGAGGGCTGGGGCACTCCGAATACAAACGTGTATACTCCAAATATTTAATATCACATCTATCACACTAGAAATGGTGTGAATTTTATCTCCTACACGTGACACCACTCACTCCCAGGCACGTGGAGTGGTCAGGCAGGACACGTGGGGTGAGGATGAGGATTCCATCATTTCCCAGGGAAGCGATGCCAGAGCTCAGAGGGAAAAACCTCCCCAGACCTTCAGAACTCTGCTATTTCCTGGCAGCCACCGGAGGGAGGGAGAAAGGGGGAGGATTTGGCTCCAGAAAAGATGTCCAGGAACTAAAATTCTCTGAAATTTCAGCTAAATCTGGTCTAGCCCTAATAAAAATTTCCCAGAAAAAAAAATCACATCCTCACATAAAGATACAAGATCTGTGAGCAGCCTTGAAAGCTCCTTGAGGAGGACATGGATCAGAAGGGCAGGGCCGTGCCTCAGTTTCCCTGTGGGTTAAACAGGGAGATTCCTGGAGGCTCAGGAGATTCCTGCTGGAATGAGAAGGATTTTCCTAAGGAAGGGAGAGACTCAACAGAAGCACAGGGATTAAAGCCCAGGACTGGAGGGGAAACAGGAAAAGTGAGAGGAGATTTTGCAACAGAAATGAAACTGGGCTGCAGAACCTCTCCCCAAAAATTCGGCTGAGGAGGATGATTTAGCCCCAAACTCCCAGCTGGGTTTAGAAGGGGTCATTTTTTGGGTTTAGAAAGGGTCATTTTTTGGGTTGAGAAAGGATCATTATTTGGGTTTAGAAAGGGTCATTAAAGCTTTCCCAGGGCAGTCCCACACACTGAGAAGGCAGGGCTCTGTTTATAAATATTTGTATTTCTATTTCTGGCAGCGTCTGGATGGTCCTGCAGGCACGTGAAGGAAATTTGGGAAGGAAAAGGCAGATAAAGAGTGGAGCAACCTCCCAGTCAAACCCTGCAGCTGTCAGAGATAAGGCAGCCCTTCAGCATCTTGAACAGAATAGGAACAAATTCCCCTCTGGGTCAGTTTTGTTTTATTTCTGAGCCTCCAGATAGCTCAGTGTCAAATAAACCCGAATATTTGAGAGGAGAAAAGGCTCGACAAAGAGCCCAGAACCTGCCCTGTGCCAAGGCAAACAGGAACCCGTGTCAGCCCTGATTTTGGGGGT